TTTTTGCATAGTTTTGTGGTGCGCATTACTTTGATTGTTTAAGGCTGCCGCCTCATACAAACCTACCCTAAATTAAATAGATTTTATATAGTTGGGTATCTGATGCAAACTAGGCCAGAGATCCAAAGTCACTTTCAGGTTGTTGTGACTTGCTTAGAAGAAATCTAATTTCATGGAGGAGTCAGAAACATAAAACTCTTGCAAGGTCTAGTACTAAGGCTGAGATTGAGCACTTACAGGTATAGTTTCTGAGATTTCATGGATACAAAACATTGTTTCTTTTCTTAAAACGAAAATATGCAATTCAACAGTTTATTATGACAACAATAGTGCTTATCTCATGATCGCATTATCACATTTAGCTAGATTACCATTTTGTTCGTGAGAAAATTGACGACAAATAGACACATGCTCGCTTTATCGGGTCCAAAAATCAAAAAGCTGGTACCTTCACAAAAGGGCTTGCAAAAGATAGACATGAGCTCTTAAAGAACAAGTTGTACATGCTCAAAACATGATGTACAACTAGCAGGGGAATGTTAGAAGGCAATGAAGGGAAGTTTTGGAATTTGTGCATATTTTAAGTAGTTTAAATTATAATTTGCTGTAATGTATAAGGGCAAATCTATTCTTACTCAGGATATAACATTTATATATTGCAATACAAGAATTAGGGCTGGTCCCTGGTGTGTGTTTTCATGGTAGCATAGTGTGTGTCTCTTTTATCCCTTCTTCTATATGGTTTTCAGTTCGCTGCTAACAAGTTAGCCTAAGGGTCATCATCTCGAGATGAGAAATAGCCTCAAAAGCACATGCTTAAGGGCTCATTTAGATGGATCACTTTTCACGTACATTCCGCAACCTCACCATTCATTTGAAAGACGAAAAAGAGGGAGTTTGGTCCCCTCCACTATTCTCAAAGCATATATTTAGGGCCTGTTTGGAAGAACAACTTCTCAAGGAAGTCCCACAGCTCCACCATTCATTTGAAAGCCCAAAAAGAGGGAGTTTGGTCCCCTTCCACTATTTTCGAGTAACGACCTTCTCTTCCGCAGGTTTACACATGAGCCAGCCTTTACCAGTGCTAACTTTAAATATTTAAAAACATCTTCTTAACTAATCAAAAGTCAACGGGTGCATGCAGCAGACTTACTAAAACGTGCAACCACACCATTAAATTATGTCTATGTAGAAGATAAGAGTAGAACAGCAAAATGCAATTATTAGGAAAACACAATACCATTAGATGGAGGGTGCATGCCAATATAATTGTGTATCATGCAAGGTAATCACTTCTACTAAATCTAATTACACATCATATTACAAATTGATTCTCTTTGAAAACAACTATTTCTAAAGACTACACATTACTAGAAACATCATATTTTACAGGGAAGAACGTAAGCAATATATTCAGAAGGGAATGGTTTCATTAGCAATGATAAATGAATAACTATTCCAAAACAAAGCAATGGAGTTCATTGCTTTGAATGAAGAGGTTAGTGCACTAAACTGGGAAGAGAAAGGTGACTAGCGTCGTTATGTCAGTGATACATCATTTTTTTTGAGAGGACAGCATCCCAAGCAATTATAACCAAGTCCCCGAACCAAATATTTCTTTAATCCAATAGTTAGCAGAAGCCATACCATGCTCCCGAAACCAACATATATAGGCTTCATTCCAGCTTGAAGCCACTCCAGAAACTCTTTCTCAGGCTGATACTTGGTCCCAAGATTCAAGAAACAAAAGCCGACAACATCCACAAGAAGTCCCCAATCTGCAAATTTGCAACTAAAAGCATTTAGTTTCAGCGGCAAAGTCACACAAATTAACTACAAGAATATTCAAGTGCTTAACTAAATGCCATACTTTCATATCAAAACACCTGAAATATCCCATCTACTTCGATTGCTTCAGCTTCACCTCATTTACAGAAAATGAAATGTAGAAGAAAAAGGAATTTTTTAACTAGAGTGTGACTTCTACTTTTTGGGTTTGAAAAATGAAATATAAAATACACATGATTCTCAGTTACCATTCCATAAAGAACTTCCAGACAAATAGAAAAGATATTCAAAGTTCAAGACAAAAGTGGACATAAAAATGCAGAGCCAAGTCTTCTGATCATGTGTAATAGGTGTTCACTAAGGAGAAAAACTAGCAAACATCACTGAAGTAGATTAACTAGGGCCATTCATATGAATTCCTATGGTACATGAACTTCCCACAAACTTCCCACGTGAGGTCACATGCTCTCTGAGATTTGCTTAACCAGTCTAGAAAAATTACAGCTCCTCACTACCTACTTACACATGTGAGACATATTTTCATCATGTCCAACAAGGTGTCATGATTTAGAAATACCTTCCAACACTTGAGTGTCACCAGACATGTCTCAAACACATTGGCGCAGTCTTTGAGTATCAACACACATATCCAAATTTTCCGCATGTCCAGATTTAAATCGCACACATTTTAGGTAGATTTTATACATGTGGTCGAAAAATTTTGTACACATGGTATACTTAATTCATGAGGTTCCTGTAAAGATACAGGTATCCCACATGTAAGCAAGATGACATGTGCATCCTGTCCGATCTACAGTGTTTAACAGTCCATTGTTTAGGGAGCAGAGTTGAACACACCAGTGTCAGGCAACAACAACATGTGAGTCCTTGTTTCTGTTACCTAGTAAATAATATTCTTTAAAGGACCCAAATTTTGAAGCCATGACTAGCACATGAGTTGAAAACTAGAAGTCAAGAACAGACATTGGAACCTATATAGTAGAAAAATGATGGCGCCACAAAGGCACAAACCTCCCTCCCTCTATTTACAACTGTCTAATGCCAAACCATAGCTACTGGGAACAGGATGACAAATGATTCCAGGATCAGGGGCGGGATTGATGGATCAAGGCCGTGTAGAAGCTCCTTACGATAGGTATCATTGTCCATACACTATTAAATCCAAGAAACTCGATCCCTCTGTTCCTAGGATCAGGATCCTGAAATAGTTAGAATCAAGTTATAAAATTTCTGGCACCAAGATCCCTTGGTTAAGAATTGAAGTTCCCCAGAGCAATTAAATAAGGTTCCCTACCACTGAAGCGTAGTTGGAAAACAATCCAAATGTAGGCTAGAGCATATGATAAATTTTATAGAAGCAATCCATATAGTCGTAAAATGAGGCCCTTGAGTACATTTAACTAGGGTTCCTTGGCTCAGAGTGTGGTCCCATATGTTGTTGAACCAATATTAACTAAACTTAAATTCTTATTAAAGAAATCATAAATTTTCAATCATTCTATAGTAAGTGTATGACATTGTCATATTAAATAAATGATTCATTTAATAAACTATGATTTCATAGTTTGTCTTCTGATTTTTGTAAAGTACCAAAACTCATGGCCATCTTTTATGTTATATATATGTATATATATATATATATATATATATATATATATACACACGCCCACACATATACATACATCATCATCATCATAGCCCTTTCCCAATACACATATATATACATACATAATGTATATATGCATATATGCATGTTTGTATGTAAGAATGTCTGTATGTATTAAATAATCATAAATCATAACAATAATTAGGATCGTATACTTTGAGACTATTTATATTTCTTACAAGGAGGTCACAATTACTCCTAGCCATTAGATATCAAATTGAATGGCTTGGGGTGCATTACAAAGTTCAAGAAATTGTTTTTGAACTTTGAGTCCAGTCAATGATACGCTCACAATCACCTGATTTGAAATTTGAAGGACACAAGTGATTGTGACGTCCTTGTGCTCAAAGTAAATGGTCTCTTTGCATACTTTTCCATAATAATTTGGCTGATAAGTTGGCTTTTGGCATCTGATTCCAAGTTAATGGAAGCTCGATCCCTTATTGATAGAGCCTCGGTACGAACTATAGGAAAGGATGGATCCCATAATATTAGAGCCACATATTGGTCGAATCTGTGTGGAGTATACTCATGTCCTGTGTTACAATATAATAGAATCTGGATCCCACGACTCTGAGGACTTAGGACCCCAACATGCAAGAACTTGATCCCACTGTAGTATGCATCTCAGTCGCATAATGGACAGAACTCAATCCCTTGATGAAGGGATCGAGATCCGAAATTCTAAAAAAGGAGATCCATAGAAGATCCCTTTCCAGGACCTTAGGATGGAGCTTCCAGAATGGATCGCCCACCAAAGTTAGGTGATCCCGGTAATTATCTGCCAAACCACCTAGATTAAGGCAACACTAGTTAATAGCCTCATTTCCCTACCACCCGTCCCTTCAGAAACTTTCCCTATATCATCTAGATACTGATAAAACTATCATGGAATAACTTTCAACAATTTCCATGTTTATCAGGATTGTCTGAAGGCCCCCAACCATGATAGCCTTTCATTAAGTAGTAAGTCATTTCATAAATGTAAACAACACACAAGTACTAGATCATTTTGTGCATGCTAAGGCACAAGGAATTCAACTCCTCTTTCTCATTAATGAGCATATGTGCTGCTTTTTTGAGGTATTAAGATGATTGATATGATTATACATATCAACCAACATTGGTAATAGCAGAGAGACAAGACAAAGAGACCTCTAACACAACACATAGTACCTCTTCCAGAACTAGGTGCCTTGGAGAAACATACAAGGAAGAACTTTTCACTCTCCTACTTGGCCTGAAATTATTACTTCTTCTCTTGAGCCACCTCACAGTAGGGAAGGACATCCTCATTTTCTCTTATTCCCACAAAAATGAACAGCAATACAACATTATTTCATGAATATTTTCTTTCCAAGTTACATTCATGAAAAAATATTTTCTTTCCAAGTTCGTCCAAATATGAATATAAATAAGGCTTCTAAAATTTCAGGTTAATACGAGAAGTACATTCGTGGATAAACGTCATCATGATACATTCATAGAAATATGATATGATACATATTATAAACAATAATTATCAATAGAGTTTGTTGAAATCTATGCACCATTAATATAAAACTCAAGAAACATGATTAAAGGGAAGAGGGCATGCAACAAGGGATAAAAGCAATAGCCACTACCCACTAGTTGTAAATTGCTATTTTTTCGCCTAACTTCTCCATGAGAAAGTACAAAGTGAACTCTACTTGGTAAGCAGCAAATTTTCTGTGGTTTTACATTCTGCAACATCATCAATAAGGCATACTCACGTCTTTGAACCGTAAGGGCAAAAGATCGTCTCTACCTTTTGGCTTAGGCACCAGATTCGGACTCCACATGTATCCTGTTGGCAAATGTGAAATGGATCCATGATATGTACTGAAGTATGCAATAGGTGGAAGCTTCAACTTCCTTCTCCGGAAGTCATTAACGAATCCCCTTATGCCCCACCATATAAGTAAGTCAACGACAAGATATGAAAGCTGGCCAATAATTAAACATATTAACACTTAGCAAGGACAGAAAGATGAAACAACCATGTCAAATGAATATAGATAATGAAATAAATGAACATACTCGATAGCCAGCACTTTGAGACACACGGGCCAGAGGATGAGGAAATACAGAAGTGGGCCTGCCTATAAATGGATATATGTAAGAAAAGACATCACTATAGAAACTTTGAAGATAGAATTACATTCAATTAGATGCAATTACGTGGCATAACATGCTCATGGAGAAGTTTACATGTGGAAGTTAAAACTCTTCAGTGTCATCAAACAGAATAATAGAACTATTTAAAGAAACTAGGATAAGATTCATGCCAATGATGTAGCCAACTCCTTAGCTAAGCTTGGCATCCTCTGTACATCTATGTGAGCAGATAACACATCATCAGCTGCAACATTCTTCCCTTTTTGTGCCTTTCACTTTCTAAGAATGAATTAAGTATCATCAAACAGAATGATGCAACTACTTAAAGAACCTAAAAATAAGATTTAAGTTAAATATATTCACACTCAAGGTTTTACCATATAACAAAAAAATAATAATAATGACAATAATAATAATTATAACAAAACAATAATAACAACAACAACAATAATAATAAAAGGGTGTGGTTTCCATAAAGTTGCAACCTTAAACAATCCAACTAAGGTGCACCTTCAAAATTTATCATAATATATAATGTTGATGTAAAATGTTTTTAGGATTATCTCAAAATCTATTTTTATATCTAATTATAAAATTTTAAATTCCAAAAATGATTCAAATCAAGTAGATCTATAAACATATGAAAATCTTGAATATGGACAGTGTAGATAATATGTTGTAAGATGCACTATTTCTAAGACTCAAAATCTTTTTATTTTTGATAGTTATACATCTCGATATCGAGATATATCGAGATGATCAAACAAAGGGTTTTTTAACATTAAAATAACTTTTTCCGATGGATTGTTTAGGTGCATCCGTAGTTCTACATTTAAGGTTGCAACCTTATATAAACTTTTTCCAAGAATAATAATAATAATACTAATAATGATAATAATAATAATGTGAAAACAACCGAAGACAGCATTCATGGACTACAGATCAAAATCGATCAACTCCCAAGATCCAGATCATTTTAAATGCAAAAATTAGGTGCTTACAAGAATAGACAAAATGCCAATATAAAATGAAATTCCTCCAAGACACAGGCATGACTGAAATGAATATGAAGTGCATTCAAATCTGGATGAAGCACAAAGCTCATCTTCAATAGGAGTTCCAAAGGTAGCCAGAGCCTACCTGGCATAGGTGGTGCATCCAAACGTATAATTGGAAAGGAGCCCCACAGTGAAAGAAGTGGCTATGTAGAACTCTAGGGAACAAAATAAAAAATTCTCTTTTTTTTTTTATTAATATAACTGAATTCCGCTTACAGGTGCCACAAAAAGTATGCTGTAAATTTAAACAAACCTAAATACAACCTCGGATCCTACTTTTTTCAGCCAAATAAATATAATTTAATCCAAGGTCTGAGTTCAAATTTTAATTATAAATTTCAATATGAATAATGTTACCGAAAATTACAACAAACCAAGCAATATTTACTGAAAAATAAATTAAAACAGCCAGAAAGACTTACTCGATTTATGTAACGTCACCCTTTTAGGACTTAATACACCCCACACCCAATTACATGATTGTTGGCACACTTCTTTGAACCTATTCGCCCTGCCGAATTACAGAGATGGGAAACACCTAGGCAATACCTCATTGTCAGAACTGGAGTTTACAGAGCACAAACTAAAAGCTAGGATTTTCTTGAGCCCTCGGGGTTCTTTTAGGGCATGCCACAAGGCACCACCCTGTTAAGCTTCTTAGGCCAGGGCATGCCTTCCTATATGAGCCCTAGGTGGTGTGTGCTGCTCCCTTAGGGTGGTGCGTACCACCCCTAGAGAGACTAAAGAGAGAGAAGAGTGATATAGTATGCGAGAGCTGTAGGGAGAGAGAGAGAGAGAGAGAGAGAGAGAGAGAGAGAGAGAGAGAGA